TTATGCGAACTGATGGTCGAGGAAAGGGGGTGGGTGGAAAAAGGGGGAAACTTTAACCCGTGCGAGGAGCAGAATGCAACTATTAGTTGCACATAGCTGGGCAGCGGCGACAAATTTCCCGGCTAGTCACTAGGCCATTGTGTTGACAAGCCCGAAAATCGGGTCAGTAGTAAATCAACAAAACAACTCGCCCCGCCGGCGAACAATGGCAATCATTGTTCTGCGGCTGGTGAAAAATGCATGGTGCATAGTTTTAGAACCCCGTTGATTGCCTGCACATCGAAAATGTGCATGCATACGAGTGCGGAAAATTCGCATTTATTTCTCGGTTTGGCGAGTGGAAAACCAAATGTAATGAATCGATGAGCGCCAAAGCCAATCGTCGAAAATAAACGAAAGGCAATATGAAATCATATCCGGGCAGGCCATCGAATCCTCGGAGGTTTTCGAAACAATTGCCTTTTAAATTATACAACATTATTCGCTGGCAAATTAACAGTTTACTTGATGGGATTAGCTATGCAATAAATTGTATAGTTTATCCTTAGAATTGATTTCAAATTTTTAAGTGCTGGTATTTCTGATATTTAATACAGGCTTATCCATAATCGGGTCATAAAACCCAGCAATGAATGAAAATATGTGCAACGTGGCCTACTTTAAGTCTGGAAAATTTCATGCTTAAAGGCTTTTGGAATTTCTGGAAAACCACGTGCCGACAGTAAGGCCACATAACTATTTTATATCCTGTTAAATACCCCGCGGCATTCCACTTCAATCCGCAATTCGTGTCCCTCCTCGTGATAAGAAAGCATTTTTGAGGAACTTTTAATGGCGTCCAAACGCAACTGACGTTAATGGGTTACATTAAGTGCTGCCTTAAAGCCCACATGCCAACATCAGCTATCAGCGCTTCCGTGCACACTTGAGTTCACACACAAAAAGAGGGGTCTCCGATTGAAAGCTGGCTGGGGGGAGGGGTTCACGGGGTCAGGGGTCAGGGTTCAGAGGCGGAGACGGAGACAGCGAAGCCCTCGGCGGGAAAGTCCCGACTGGCGACTGGCGATTAATCAATAACCACTCAGCGGTTGGAGCAACCGATTTAATGGACACGAAATGATGATGCCGCCCGCTGTCTGCATTTTGCCAAGAGACAGAGAGAGAGCGAGAGAGAGAGGGAGAGCGAGCGGACTTGGCTGCATTAAATTCGCCAGAGGCTACTTTTAGGCGCCGGCCGCGATGCCAGGCAATGGCAGTTTGTAATGAAAACGAGGCCAAATGCAGGCTGCCCGGGAATCTGGCCCCTTTCAGCGTGCAACAAGAATTTCTCATTTGGGTTTCGATTATGGGTGGGCCTCACAGAAATTGAGATGGAGAGCGGAGGTTGGGTATCGCTATTTCGGCCATTAGGCGATACGCACTTTTGGCGGCGAGTGCAGTTTCAGGTCACTAAACTCTGCCAACAGAGACAACTTTGGAAGGCTTATGTGCTCCAGTTTGAAATTTGGCACACGAAAAGCTTTCTCATTTTACGGTTGTCAATTAGCGAATATGATAAATGATTGATTAATTTAATTCTGTTGGTTAAGTGGCAAAGGAATATTGGCTGAAAGAGTGCGAGGTAAGGAATGCTGTATAATTGGAAGTATAAATAAATATAACTAAAAGTTAGAAAATAAATTGAGTGAAATATAATTGTTTCGCCAATTTACTAAATATTTTCTTTCCCTTTAAAACCAAAAAATATGGTTTTAAGATGAATTAAGTTTAAGTCAAGTAAAGTTTGCTAACATATAGATTAAATTTGTTGACTTCTTTACGTGCAACATGGAAGAGTAGCGCTCCCAATGATTAAAGTGTGATTTTTATCTGGCAAACGCTTAGAGGCAACAGGCCAAAACAAACAGACAGTCAGATAGACACGATTGTCGTCATAAATTTCGGCGGGACACGGCCAAGTTGGAGCCAAACACGCAAACCCACAAACACTAGCACACACAAGCAGGCACTTACACTCGCCCATCTGCTGACCCACCTGAAAGTAGGCAACACAAACACCTGCACACACATATACACACAAGCACACACACAGAGAGAGACCAACAAACAGGTGCAGAACGGAAGCCACATGAAACATGACCCTCGATACAAGCGGCAAAGTTTGCGTGCCAAACAAAACACACGGCTAAAAGGTGAGACAGAGACACGGCAAAGATGAAAGCCAAAAAGTCAGCTGAAAAATCAGAATGGAGGAGCATGCCGTGCATGAAGGTGCGCGGAAGCGAGAGGGAAGGTGAAGGGGAGAGAGAGAGGGACAGGGACAGGAAAACTCACTTGCATGTGGCACGAAAACGAAACGCTATGCGACTCCGAAGCGACAAACATTTAAAAAAGCATTTTATTCGCATATCTACGTCATACCGGAAATTCTATATCAACGCAAATTGTTTATGGCCAAACAAGCGAAACGTCCGTGGGAATATGAAGGGGAAATGTGGTAAATATATGAGAAAAAATAGAAAGCATCCAAGGACGACGAATGCAATAATACACTTTGGTAAAGGAAATCGCTAGAGGAGCAAAAAAGCGGAAGCTTGCATTTGAGGAAATCAGATAGCAAAGACACTATAAATTTGTTACAGAAATTTAATAAATAAACAATATTTTTTATGCTTCTTATATCATTTTTTTAAATATATATTTATAGACATATTTGTCCCCAACTTTTTAAGACAACTTAATATTCGGCTTGTTGCATCATTTATTTGGATAGGTAATATGAGGAGCGTTTCACTTAAAAGTTGAAGCCCCAGCAAGCGGAACTAAGACTGAATTTCAGCGAGGCGAGTTTTTTAATAAACCTAAGTGGATCATGTCGAAAAAGGAGACCGAAGCACGAACGGAGCTAGAAAAAGAACAGCAGAGACGATTTTTGTATTTATCCTTTTCCCAGCGCTTTTGTGGCGTGCCAAATGAAAATATAGCCAGCGAGCCACGTGAATTTATTTATGTGGGTATTTGTTTTCGTGGTCGTGTCGAAACGTTTAACCCCCCATCGAGGTTAATTAAAAGCAAAGCGCGCCCAAAACTATGCCACGAATTATGCACTCCGCCCAGCACACACACACACACGCATGTAAGGGCACACACACATACACTCCCAGCGGGGGTCAGCGAGGAGAAAATTATAAATATAAGCTCATTAAAGGCTTAGTCGCTATAGGAGGTAACCCCGCTTCGACCGTGTCCATTTTAATTAGATAAAATTGCATTTTGCATAATTTTAGATGCCCGCACACATCAATAAATCGAGGACTCGCCCGCGCAGCGCGCCAACTAATTTATGCCTTTGCTAATTAAACGATCCACAAAAACGCTGCCACCAAAATGAGGCATTTATTTTAATTGCATGGGAGTAGCGAAAAAAAATGTAAAATTCGATTTTCAACAGCTTTCAAATCAATAACGTGGGTGAATAATTTTGGTACACACTATTACTGAACGTTTCTTCTATTTTAAAGAAATTAAACAAACGTTTAAAACTAACTAACATTTTTGTATTTTGATGTAATTCCTATAGGATTTTATTTCTTAAGGACACACACTTATTTGTATGCTTTTCACCATATAGTTCCAACTTTGGTTCTGAAATCTCTAGAAATTTCATAAGTTATGTAACTTGTTAACATGCCGTAAAGAAAGTTGGTGCCTACTTAGCGGCGTGGCAATTACCGCTCAGCCGCAACCAAGACAAACTGCTGGCAAGCGGGAAACAGGAAAACAGGAAAACTGGAAAACAGGAAACACCAGACCGTCGTGATGGATGGGAGGAAGTCAGGTTGCGGCGGTTGCGACTTCGTCGTCAGTGGTTGGAGCTGTCAATTATAACAGTTTGCTGAAACTTGCCGAGCAAAATGCCGGCTGAACAACTGAACTACACAAACACCCGCCATGTGCGGCCGTAATTAAACAATTAGCGAGGTGAGTGCCACTTAATTAAATAATTTGCAGCCATGCGGTCGTTGGGCCGCAATAAAAAAGTAAGGGGCGCCCCAGCGTTTCGAGTCGAATTGCCGATGCCCTGTGACCGTCATTTCGGAAATAATTCGAGAGTTAGCCCCCAAAAAAACCCTCGTCCTGCTAAAATCCTTTGCAAGTTTGGTGGGGGAGGGGTATCCCTGAAATATGACGTCTCATCAGCAGAGAAAGTCGGCAGGCAGGCGGCAAATGGCGACAGGTGTTTCAACAACATTTCGTGCATGCCATAAAAATAACCCAAAACCCACACACACACACACAGAGAAACACACACCCACACCGAGTACACGACATGTCTGACTTTTGTGTGAGAGAGTGTGGGAGAACATAAATGAAATTATGACATATTTAAATGGCACACAACAGGCAACAGGCTGGTCCTCCCCTCCCCCTCCTCCTCCACTTCCAACCTCTATTTTCCCACTCAGTTTCTCCACCACCACGACGGGCGACTTCCGGTTCCGTTTCTGTTAGCCAAGTTCCCTAGCAGTTAACCTGGGCTCGTGTTCATTTCTAGTTGTTGCCTGTATAATTTACAATTTAGCGCCATAAATGCTATGTCGTTGTGCTTTTCTGGAGGGGCCCACGGGGCGTATGCGCAACATTGCGTGTTTGGCCCAGGTCAAGTGCGTGTGCCATGCTAATTAGGTGACAATGTTATCAAGGTGTCGCCGGAAATCGTTGACACGGCGCTTGGATGGGTTAGATAATTAAAATGAAAACGAAATTGCAGATTAAGATTAGGGAAACACACCCATATAAATCCAACTAGTCATAAACTTATTTTACAATCTCTAAACATCCATAAATAGTGAATAAGCTTTCGTAAGATATGACAAGGAGTACATAATTAAAATAACACCGAAATGGTAAATAAAATTCAAGTATATAAACATCCAAAAATAACATAATTTTTCATACTTTAAAACTTCTAAAATTTTATTAGTAATTAATTTACTTACACCTTAACATATGCCTGAACAATTCTTACTAACATCAATCGATATGACAACAAAATCCAACTGTCATCGCATTAATCACTCACCTGAAAAGATAAAATGATAAAACGTTATTAGTAACAGGCTTTGTGTAATTTATAATTTATTTTGGGATTATTTTTTGCTGTTGTTGTTGTTGTGTCTACTTTAACAACAAATACGAGCATTGACAACACTTTCGGCGCTTTGCTCTTGTCGTTAGTGTTTTTCCGGCAATGCCGGCCCCAAAGCAAAAGGCTTAAATGATTAATTAAGCGCGTCAATGTATGCGAAAACATTCGACATGTTGTGAATGTGTGGACGGATTTGTTTTTGCCGTTGATGCGGTGTGAAAATCACGTGTTGAAAATGGCGTGAATTCGTCGAGTGAATAGCACATAGCTATTGTATGCACACGTACGTAACTTCAGATACAGATACAGATACAGATACACGTGCGTCCGCATTTATTTTGATGTCATAGTTTTCGTTGGCGACGCGCTGATTTTAATATTTAAATAAATGCTGTCGTTGATTGCGCATACGACGCGTTGTTTGTCGTTTGCCCACCGATGTTTTTGTTGCTGTGATTTCAGCCCGCTTGTTTGTTGTTTGCATAAGACAAATTGTATTTGTTTTCGACTTTACCAAAAACCCAATTATATGCCATCGCAGTTTCGACGGTCGACTGTTCGCCCCGAGTTCCATTTCGCATTTGCCAGCAATCCGATTGCACCCGAAAACATTAAAAATTATACAAATATTGATCTCGCAGCGAGAGTGCAATAATGTTGATGCATAAAGCCATTTGATGGTCTGCAGCTGGCAATGAGTGGTTTAATTGAAATACATTAGCAGAGCTTTCCGGGGATTTGCTGGTGTGCACGAGACATAGGCAGGAAATTTATACAGATAAATATCACGAAATACTTGAAAATCCTTCGAAAAATAAATACGGCTGGCGTATAAATAATAATATTTTTTGAGGAAATATATCGGGGCTATAAGCTACTCATGACGGTTTTCAGAGTATTTTCAAGGGATTTAACCCTGCATTGCAGAACTGTTTAAAGTGGGTACTTTAAAATATATAAAGTAAATGCTGATGAGAGTATTATTACCAGGAATAATCGTAGCCCACAAATGTGTGTCCTAAATAGCTCAAACATACTTTTTTAAGGTAAGCCTTCTGATTATGTAGCCCACTTTGGCTGACCTATTTAAATACCAAGGGTTACTGTGGAAAAGTGAACCCATCTATCACATCTCCCCCCCTTTTTCCTGCCATTGTAAGTGACACAACGCCTCTAATTCATTATTTTCTGGGCGGCTGCCAGACACAGGCATACGTATTTTAACATATTATTTATGGCAAACATTTTTTGGCCAAAAACTTTTCAAGCCGACCGCAAACAAACAAAACGAAAGGCAACAAAAAAAAAAAAAAAAAAGAATGCGTATGCAAATATCAATTTATTATTGCATACTTTTGTGAGCGGCCACACTCGAAAATTAAAATACGACCGTCCAGAATGGAAAGCACTTTTAATTTATTAAAAATTCTATTGTCAGGGACTAGGATAACAATAACCGCAGGACATGCGTACTTTTTTCACACTTTTCCCCCGCCCGCTCGTGGGAATTCCTGGTTGTCACACAATTTTTATGTCGCTGAACCCACTCGGCGGCGGCTACTTTGGCAAAGGATCCGAAAAGGACTCACACTCCCACGTGGACCCACAATCCGTTTTCTGCTCCTGATGCCTTTCACATGGTTTTGAATGAATGACACATAAAGTTCTTTTTATTTCAGCTGCGTTTTGTTTTTGCGACATTTTTATGAATGCCTCGAAATGCTCCCCCATTCTTTCTCTTTTCTCCTTTTTTTGTGTGTGTGTGTATGTGTTTTTTTTTGTTTGTGTGAGGTGCCCCAGCTTCGGGTTTATTCATGCGGAATGCGACGCATAGTTTTTTGCCAGTCCAACCGCCCCCCTTTTTTGTTTGTTATTGTTTTGCCAACAGTTCAGGCCAAAACGCACACACACACACACACACTCACACACGGAGACATGGCTGGGAAACCCTTTTCAACGCAAATATGTTCCATTAGCAATGGCTCGACAACGATTTCAGTGTTTTTTCACTTCGGCTTTTGTTTTTCGTTGTTTTTTTTTTTTTGTTTCTAGTTGCTGGTTGCTGTTAGCTTTCCTTTTGCATTTTTGGCCTGGCATGTGTTTGGCTTTCTGTTTTGGTTTGTTGGCATACTTTTGCCAAATGGAAATTATAGTCTAGTGCGCCTGCCTTTTTAGCCATTAATTTATGGTGCCAGCGGGATGGAGGTCACCGTTCGCAGTCACCCCAACCAAAAATAAAGGAGTCTGCGAACTTTAAGCCCACTAACCGGCGATGCGGAAAACCAAATCACATCATCTGAATCGACGGTGGAGTGGCGAATCCACTGCTGAAAACCGTGAAATGCAAACCGTTCGAGGGTTCAAAGCGCCTACCAATAGCCCGGCCCCCAGTGATTTGGCCACCAAAGCAAACAATCAAACAAAGGCGTCCCCTGGACACAAAATAGAAAAAACACAAACAAAATGACACGCAAATGCAATTGAATGCACTGCTATGGCTGCTCACTCTGGAAAAGTTCTGGTCAGTACGGCATTGTTTACCTTTTTTTTTGTGTTTAAATTTAATTGGTTTCCTATTTAAATTGCTTTTGGGTGTGGGAGCTGGCTCTAGGTACTCCCTGGTCGATTGTTTGGCTTTGTGGCGCCCCCACTTGGATTCGTATAATTTGCCTTTGATTGCCGTCTATAAAATTGGAAAACCGAAATAAAACTCACATAAATTGGACTTCATTGTCCTTTGTTGTTAAGGCATATACAATTTCATGCGGCATACTTTATGGCACTGTGGCACATTTATTTAGATAACCAATTGTAGTTTTTCCAATTAAAATATTTCGAGTTTCGTTGCGTACTTGGCAAAATGTGAAATTGAATTGTTGCCCCAGGAAAATTGCATCTGTGGCAGAGATTTTCGTTTGGCAGCAAATGAAATATATATTTTTTATTACAACAGCGTTTTATGACACGCCCGGGGGCGACCACAGACTTATGCAGCTCAGTGTTTGCCACTCCCTTACCGACTGTAAATTTACTTAAGCCTGGCAAACATTAAAATGGCTCTTAAATGTGAAGTAAATACCCAAATAGCATTAATTTTGAGTTGGTAATTCCCATTGAAATACACAGTTCGTGAAAATAAAATTGGGTCGGCCATGGAGTGTGTTTGCAACTAAAATAAATATTCATATGAAAATAGTTTTCAATTCTGACACTTGGCTCTGCATTTATAATTTTCTTATTGCAAAGCAAACAAAAAGTGTGCAGAGTTGACTTAAGGGTAATAACAAAAAACGATTTGATTTTGTTTAATTTAAAACGTATTTGTTTGTTGGGCAATGAAATAAATATTTAAAGAATATTGTTTGAACTTGCTTTAAATTTTATTTGAAAAAGAGATTATAACAATTAGTTTGTTCTGTTGTTTCTTTTGGAAGAAAAATATATAGGTGTCATGAAATATGATTGTCTTACCATTTTATCATTCAACTGTTCTATATATAATATTTTGTTATTTAAGGTCTAGTAAATTCTGTTTTTAAATAATCTTCCAATTTTCACACATGGCATTCTCTGCAAAATTCCAGATAAATACCTAAGCCAGAACAAAACAATGGTGGAATAAAAATATATATTTATAACTCGTTAGCCCCTAAGGCCAACGGACTAGACGGTTCGGAAATTGAGTGTGTGTGTCTAACTGGATAATAGAGTCGAGAGCAATTGAAGCGCATGCACTGATTCCATAAGCGTTTTCCCATGAGTTTGCGGGTGTGGGATCTAAGCTCGACCGAAACCCTTTTATCGGGCCCACAACAACTACCGCCCAACAACAACAACAACGAAAGCAACAACAACTAAGCCGAACTAAGCGGACGGCGTTTTGAAGGGATTGCGAAGGGCAATAGAAAGAAACGCATAAAATATTAATAACTGGATTTGCCCACTGCTGGCCAAACAAAGCCCGAATAGAGTACACACACACAAACAACATCAGCAACAGGAACAGTTGGCTAAAACTGCTTTGGCCATAATCCCATTACCGGGGTCAATGCGCCCACGGTTGTTCAGCCGGGGGTTAAGTTGATGCCAGCGCTTCAACTTCAAGTTGCAAGCCCCACTTGAGGTTTTTCGGCTTTTTCGGGGGGTTTGGGCTTGGGTCCGGTGGGTGCAACCAATAAATGGGAAAAAATCAAAATCATGAATCCGGATTGGTGGCGTCAAATGCCGGACTCAATATTCGCCGGGAAAAACAGGAACGGGGACAGCAACACAAGAGTTGTACGTGTAATTGAATTTTGTGGTGCGTCGTCGCTGGCGTCAATTTATTTGACCACGTATTGTGTGTGTTTGTCGGCCGCTGGCCGAGCATGAGGATGGGGCAAAGCGAGGGGAAAACGGGTGGAAAACCGAGGGAAAACCGGGGGGAAAATACGGGAAAAGCAGGGAGCGGTCAGCTGGCTGGGGGCGAGTGGTTGGTCACTACGTGCGTATTACACGCCGAAAGGGTTATGGCCATCGTAATTGTATTGGCCGGGCTAAACATGGCGCTCGGTTGTCTGTCGTCCCCCCTCCCACTCACATTTCCCAGCCCGACACCTTTTCCCAAGCCCCCCAAGCCCCCCAAGCCCCCCAAGCCCCCCAAACCCCAACCCCAACCCCTTCCCATCCACAGTCAACCCCTTTTTTCCGATTCCCCGCCCCTGCGGTCAACACTCCACGCACGTTTCTAATTTTGTGCGTGGCTTGTTAAATTTTTTTCGTATTTCGCTGCTGTTCATTGCCGGGAAATACAAGCGGCCTTCATTTGGCCAAAACGAAAAGCTCTTGGAATTTTTCCTCATTTGGCTGCTGCCACCGACCAAATAAAAAAGTTCATTTAGCTATGAGATGTTTATTATCCGCCGGTTGAGTTTCGCTTTTTCGTCTGTCAATGT